ACTAACCATGTAAAGTGGGTTATCTGAAAAAGATATAAAAGCAACACAACCAACAACATAGTAGCATACATACTTTCATTTCACGCAAAAACACGTTTGATTAAAAGCACACTAAAAGGTTGAAAGTGCATGTTTACAGGTGACACAACTTTAAATACTAGTTGCTACCAGCAGGGGGAACTGCTGCATTCATCATGTGAGCGGGACACTAGAAGCTAAATTTGATGGAAGTTTGACTGATCCAGAAGCACTTTTTGGCTATTTTTCGGACTTCAAAATTTCACAGAACAGGTTATACTTAACTTTACTTAGTTCCTTGGTAACTTTCATTTTGTCTCCAACCTCCCCTTTAAGGAAACTATTGAGAAGATGATGGAGATTCAGTTGTGGAATATTCTAGAGGAAGTAGATTATTTGGACCAATTTCAGTCAGGTTTTAGGACCATCATGGGCAAAAGCAGCACTAGCTGCTCTAGCAGATAACTGTCATCAGAACTGGATGAAGGGAGGTCAGACCTCTTGGACCTTTTAAAGCCTTTCAGTACCATCATCCTGCAGGATTTGAGAATTGGCATTGTTTTAAAGTGGTTCCACTCCTGAGCAAGTGTTGGTCATGGAAACAATAGCTGAGCCCTTAGATCAGTGTTTCTCAACCTTGGAAGCTTGAAGATGGGTGGACTTCAACTCCCAGAATCCCCCAGCCAGCAGCGCTGGCTGGGGGATTCTGGGAGTTGAAGTCCACCCATCTTCAAGCTACCAAGGTTGAGAAACACTGCCTTAGATGTTCCATTGCGGGGTACTATAATCACTGCTCTTTAACCCATACTATTTTAACATATATTTGAAACAACTGGAAGAAGTCATGCATCAATTTGTGGCATGGATCATCAATACAATGATGATATTCAATCTATACATTGTCAGTCTAGGTCACGGCTGTCAAACTCACGGCCCATGGGTCGAATGCGTCACACGCTGGCCACATCCATGCCCTGTTTAGCAAGGGGGGAAAAGTCCCGATACATCATGTGATGCCGCCATGATGCCCCAAGGTTGACACCCCTGCTCTAGATCAAGCACAGAACACTTAGTTTTAGTTTTAGTTTTAACATCCTGGATCTGTGGAAATGCTGCAGACACATAAACCTACAGCCTTAAGATAAGGAGGAAAAAGCTCAGATTACATTGTGTTTAGGCAGAATGAATGTATGTCCATAAATATCAAGCTTATCTATTAACTTTTATCCCATTTGTTCTTTTGTGAGGTTTTGCTCCCCTAGAAGCAAGAGGAGGTCCTTCTGAACTCATGGCTCCTGCGAATTGAGCAGAGGGACCTTTATACAGCTGCTGCTGTTATACCAGTTGGGGGCCACCCAGACTACTGTATCCCAGTAACACTAATAAAGGAGAATATTTGTAGCTCAGGGTTGACATGAGGAGCCCTTGGTGCTCTCTGAGCTTGCTTGTTTTCTTACAGTTCTTTCATTATCCAAACTAGGTAACATCATCGATGCTAGTCACTAGTACCGATGATATTATCTAATTTGGGTAATGAAATGTCTGCATAATCTACCTGTTGTCTTATACATGCTTGACAAATAAATAAATATATATTAAATAAATTAAATAAGCTCAGAGAGCACCAAGCACCCCTCATATCCCAGCAAAAGTCATTCTGATTACCTTGTGGTAATCCTTCACCTTTGAAGATGACCGGGATGCTGCAGTTAGTACAGTTCATGACCACATTATTAGTCAGGAAGGCCTGTTACTTTTGGCGTATACAGCCCTTCCTTCAGGAGGTTTCCAGGCCCAATTCTGAGGGCTGATTCTCACCTATAATGGTCTACATAGACTGGCACCGGACACATTGCCAAGCATGATTCTGCCCATATGCTTCAAAGGTTCAAGGGAAGGTCTCTCTTCCCTCCCCAGGGAGATTAAGGGGACTTGGATCAGATGACAGCTTTCTTTGCAAGAGTCCTCTTTTTATGGAACATTCTTCTCCAGAGTTGCAATTAGCTTCTACTTCCCTTGCATTCGTGAAGGGTCTTAAAACAATTTTATTTCAACTAGTCCCTGTATCTGTTCCCGGCGCCTATCTTTTAAAATTGTTTGTGACTACTTTCTCTTATAACTATATTGAGTAAAGGTTGCTCTAATACCTGCAGATATTTGTTGTTTGGATTGCCTGTTCTGCTTCAATATCAAGGCTTGAAATGGTCCTCTCTTTATAGCTGTAATTGCAGAGAAGTTAAAAAGAAAGCAATTCTTTAATTTCTCTGCCTTTGTTTCTCTTCCTTCAGAGTGTGCTTTGCTAACAGGTAAAGCCATCACAATAAAGGCAAAACCTTTTGTATTTCACAAAAGGAAATACCACTTCAATGTATTTGTTTGTTTATCTATCTTTACAGTATATTTCCTATTTCTAAACTAGGAGTATGGTACCTTCATTCTCTGTTCTAAGGCTGGTTGCTCTATCTGGTTTTTTGACACATCTGAACTTTGGCGTTGGAGAAGACTTCTGGGAATACCAAAGAAACAAATGGATCAACAAACAAATCAACCCAGATTTCTCATTCAAAGAATAAGTGATGACTAAAATTATCCTTAACTCTCTGGAGACGGCTCTAATGCTGGGAAAGGTGAAAGGAAAGAGGAAAAAGACACCTAGCAGCAAGGTAGATGAACCTGGTTAGAGTTGAGATGAGTGCATTGGGAGATTTGAAAGAATAGGTTACTGTTGTGGTCCACCAGCAGCCTGCAGAGCTGACAGCGAAGTTGGTCAGTGAAGAGGCTAGGGAGGAACATGGGCCATTCTGGAGTCTGGGGAAGGTTCAGACGAGGGCTCTGCATCGGAGGCAGAGATGGGGCCAGGGCCATCTGGGAGTTATGTGTGGACTCCAGAGCCTCCAGAGTCGGACATCAGAGAGGCAGCAGAACAGGAGGATCCTGTTCCTAGTGCGCGCATGCACAGAGCTGCCAGAAAGCAAGAACAGTTAAAACTAAAGGGACGTCTCAGGAGTAAGGCCTGGAAATGATTGGCCCCTCCCATAAGGCTTAAAAGAGGAGCAAAGGCATGTGGGCCCTTTGCAGGAAAGCAACGTTGGTAATTCTGTTCCCAATCAGGGTCTCTGTTTGATTCTGGACTCTGTGTGGTTTTGCCAAGTAGGTCTTTGGCAGCATGTCAAGGGAGATAAGGTTGGTGATTATCCCAAAGGACTTCTCCCGAAGGACTTTTTGCAACTAATTGGGACTCAGCTGTGAATGAAAGTAATTCACAGCTATTGCAATAAAAGAGGTTTTTGAGATGACTAGTTTGTTTTAATGACTCAGGAAGCCCAGATCACAACAGTTAGGGATAGATTGTCCTGGAGAAAATCTATGTGGTTGCTAAAGGACAGGATCAGTGGTGGGATTCAGCCGGTTGTCTCCGGGTCGCACAAACCAGTTACAGGGAGGCTCCGCCCACCCACCCAGATGCAATGTGTGACTACTGCGCATGTGCAGAGGTGGCGCATGATCACATTTGTGAACCAGTAGGGAAGGTAAGTGAATCCCACCTCTGGTCAGCACTGACTTGATGCCATATGATCAGTCAGGTTACCCAACCATAGATCATACATATGGACCCCTTAGAATCCCTAAACTAAGATCTGCATCCAAGAATCAACTGGCTGCCAGATTGTAGGTGTGACTATAACAAGACTCATCTACTCTAAAATCAGATTTTATTTTTGTTCCTTCTCCCATCAGCATGGAGGATATCAATGACTAAGGTAAATAATTAAGCAGGAAAGTGGTTAATTGTTCCTCTGTCTTAGATAGAGAAGCATTTTATATAGTAACACTTCATTGACAAAAAGAGTTTGTATAAAAAAAGAACAACACATTTCACAAATGAAGGCTATGCGGTTGGCAGTAAACATCATTATGTTTAATGGAGGCTATAGATAGTAACTCTGCACGCAATTGCATGCACACTGGTTCCAATAAATTTGGTAGAAGGCTATGCAGAGTTGTAAGTGTGTGTGTGTGTGCACACAATTAAGATGAACACTATAGATTAAAATGCAGCTCATAACTATCGAAATCATGTGGTTTTCTGTATTCCTTTACTGTGCCTGAGTCCTGCAATTCAAGCTCTCTGTTTTTTATATATGACTGACATGTACCCAGGCACAGATGAATGCTACAAAAGTGATGCCAATTGTGCCTCTGAGATTATACTGGGGTTCATTAATTTTTATTTATTATTAAATTTATATGGCTGCCAATATCATGCAAAAGTTATTCTGGGAGACCTACAACAGTCAGATAAAACAAGGCATATAAAAAACAATCAGGATTTTAAAAAATATATAAAATTGGCGTTAAAAGTTAAATATTATTAAGACAAGATATATAAACCTCGGAGAAAGCCATCTCAGTAGAGGAACCATCTATATATGTCTTGGGTTCCCTGGTCTGGATGGGGAACAACAGGCTTCAGCTGAACCCTGGGAAGACTGAGTGGCTCCAGGTTTGGGGGCTGTAGGTTTGGGACAGAGGTGGGTTCTACTTATCTTTACTACTGGTTCGCAATGGGATCGCGCTCGTGCACTCACTTCACTCGCACATGCACCTTGCTTCTGCTCATGCGCAGATTGCTTCTCATGACATCAGGGTCAGTGGGCGGAGCCTCCCGCCAGTTTTACTACCGGTTCTATAGAACCGGTCCGAACCGGGGGCAACCCGTCACTGGTTTGGGGGTCACTGGACTTGGAAGTCCCAAGTCTAGAGGCATAACCAGGTTGGGGGGGGATGGACTTCCAGAACATCAAGTGGGATGGAGCTAACCTGATTTCGGGGAGTGGGGGGACAACTGGGCACTGTAGAAGAAAAGTTCTGCTGCCCAGGACTCACTAAATTTAAGGTCCTGGAAACAATAAAGGAAACTCTCCTTGAGGGATATGAGCAGTTTAGAAACATGAAATATAAATATAAAATAAATAAACTGCTTAGAAGAAACTCAATGTGTCTTTATTGGTTTTTGGAGCCAGACAAGCTTGCAGAGCAGAGATGGGACATGTGCTGTTTTAAGAGTACACATAATTGCTCACACTGCTGCATTCTGTATCAGTTGACATTTCCAGATATCTTTCAAGGGCAGCCCCATGTAGAATGCATTACAACAGTCCAGTCTGGAGCTGATTAGGACATGAGCGACTGTGAGAAGAGCCTGTCAATCCAAGTATGGGCACAACAAAAACACAACTGAAAGTTATGCAAAGTGTTCCCCACCCCCACCCCGAGCCATGACTGCCACCTGCTCATCAAGCAGGAGTCTTGAGGACCCCCTGATTGTGCACTGAGCCTCTCTGGAGTAGTGCAGACCCATCCAGCAACAAAGATGGCATAGTCCTGGAACAGCATGCCCCCAAATCTAGAGCCACTCAGTCTTGCCCAGGGTTCAGCTGAAGCCTGTTGTTCCCCATCCAGACCCTAACAGTGTCCAGGCACTGGAATAAGTTCACGGTATTATTTAATTCACCAGGGGCAGATATATATAATTAGGTAACATCGGTATACTGATGACACCTTATGTCATGGTGACGATGGACTCACCCAGCGACCTCATAGAGATGTTAAAGAGGAAAGGAGAGAAGGCCACACCCTACATAGCAGGGGCCGAGAACAGGACATCTCCCCCAATTTCAGATCACATAGCCAGGGCCTTGACAGGAATACCAGATTTGGAGTGCAACCACTGTTCTACATCAGGATCTGGGTGACCTGTGCTAAGACCATGACTGTCACAGTGGCCATCAATTTCTGAGACCACCCTGCCAGGGAAGGCAGCTGAAATCTTCCATGGCCATGAGCTTGTGGAATTCCACTGCCAACTTGAGACAAAGTCAAGGAGCTCAGACAGGGAGGTCACAATGCAGCAGGGAAGGTTGGTCCAGTAGCAACAATTCCAACTGATCCCTAGAACACAACTTAATGAACAGGGTCTCATACCCACTGACCTGTAATGCAGTGCCCCTGAAAGCTACAAGAAACCCTTGATGACAATCGCCACATTCCTATCTTTGCCCTGGAGTCTTAGCTGATTTCACACTCAAAACCCAGCTGGGCATATTTGGAAAGAATAAGCTCGCCTTCCCGACCTAGCCAGGTGTCAAGTAATACATGCCAGTCCAGCCATCTCATCAATTATTACATCACCGGAGGCCTTATTTCAGACTGACCTGGCATTCAGTACCAGCAGCCAGAGTCCAGGGCTATTGAAGATCTGCTGACAGGATATTGAGGTTGAGACCAAGTAGCTGGAATACAAAACTCATATGAGCCAACAGTTCCATATCCCCTGAGGGTGGCCCACTCTGTCATCCACCATGTCTCCCCATGCCCCAGACAGGAAATGTGACTAATTCTATCTTATTGTAAGACTATATTAGCAGAATCTTGCAAGTCTGAAAGTACAAACTTCTCACCACCATTTTAATTGCTTGGTCCTTTAGGGCAGGTCATTAAGAAAGAAAGTTTCTTTCTCTGATCATTTAAATTACTGGGAGCTCCTGCCTCTCTTGTCTGGTTATTTCCTAGGCAGCATTTCTTCTCCTCTTTCACCAAGGTCATCCATGCTTTCCATAACAATGCCTGACATCACATATTACGGCCTGACTCTGTCCCTTATTCAATGGCAGCCAGTCCCCAGAACCAATTTTCCCCAAATTAGGTTGCTTCAGTTTATTTATTTTTTTCTGCAAAGACTTTTGCTTTCCTTTGCATTGAATGCCAGTGAAAAATTTCTGCATTTTCACAAAAGTGCTTTTGGAAATGTATACCATTAGGCAGCTTGATTCTGGTTTTGGCTCTCATTTATTTTTACTCAACCTGATGGAACAATCTTCTTGCCACTGGGTTATTGCCAGTAGTGAAATTGATGTTCATTTTCCTGGGATCGTTGCTATTGCTAAATGACATATTGATCAAGCTTGGAGGAGAGAAGTTTTAGAGCAGAAATACTCTCTATTTATATGACCGTCATCTCTTTCTTTTCTTTTTCATTCGGGAGGAAGCAGTCCCGAAGTCCCACCTTTCATATATACAAGCCTACCCCTTGCAGTGATAAAACCACTTTTTTGCCATAGTACAAGCAGTATGATTTTAAAACTCTATGTTATAAAATGGTACAAACATTATTGGCAGGACTGCACTTCAGAGAAGAGCAGAAGAGAAGTAGATGAATTGTAGCTGCTCCCTAAAGGAGGAAGTATGGGCCTCTTTCATGGCGCAGGCTCTCCCTTTCATCAGACTCCAAAAATGTAGGTCCTCCCTCGCCCCCAGCCTCTTTCTATCACTAGAAATTCCAATAGCTATATGAATGGACAGAGCACAAGCTGCTGGCTTCCAAAGCTAAAGTGAGGCTTTTCCACTGATATTCAGATTAGTGCTGTAAAGGTCTAGGACAGTGATGGCTAACCTTTTTGCCGTCGTGTGCCAAAAAGCAAGGGGAGCGGGGGGGGTGTTGTGTGCACATGTGCCCACACCCATAATTCAATGCCCCCCGTGCCCTGCCCCCTGTGCATGCACCCGTGACCCCCCTGCGCTCCGCCATGCATGTGCGTTTACTCCCCCCCCCCACGTGCCCCATTTTGGGCCTAGCAGGCCTCCCTGAAGCCTCCGGAGGCCAGAAACGGCCTGTTTCCAGACTTTGGGTAGGCCTCGTAGGCCCATTTTTTTGCCCTCCCCAGTCTGAAGACGCTTTCCTGGAGCCTGGTGAGGGCAAAAATAGCCTCTCCCCACACCGGAGGCCCTCCGGAGGCTGAAAATGTCCTCCCAGAGCCTCCCTGCAAGCCCTGCACTTACCTGACATCCACATGGATGTATGGAGACTCCTGGGAGGGGAGAGATGGCTTGGGCGGGGCCAGCTGAAAATCAGGTGGCCAGTGCGCGCATGCATGCTGAAACTGAAGCTAGAGCAATGGCTCGTGTGTCCGCAGATATGGATCCGCGTGCCACCTATGGCATGTGTGCCATAGGTTCTCCATCACAATCTAGGACAACTTGTCACAGCCATAGCCAACTCGCTGCAGCTAACTTACCATAGCCAACTCCCCGTGGGACAACTCAACATTATATTAACCGTTTCATTGTTATTTTTATTGTTGATGACCATGTTTTTCTTGAAATTATTATAATTCTTATATTTCCGTATTGACTTTTTTATTTTATTATTATTAGCCATGGTTCCATTGAAATTAATTTAACTTTTTTATATGTTGAACTGTCCTGTGGCGCGTTGTCCCACGGCTAGTTGGCCATGGCAAGTTGTACTATGGTGAGTTGGCTGTGGTGAGTTGGCCATTGACCATGCAAATTGGCAGTAGTGAGTTGTCCCATTCCAATGCTGTAAAGAATTCTTCTTTGGCATTTTTCAAACATTAAAAAAGAGACCGGCCATCAAAACTGAACACCACTGTTGGAGACCACATAGGCATGTCCATGCAGCCAGCATTCAGTCATATAGAAAGAAACTTGGTTTCTTTCCCCTCAAAGGGCAAGAAACGAAATCAGTGAATTTCTTGTGTGTGGGTGTAGAGTTGTCACATTTATGTTAGTTTCCAGGCTAATAACCAGGAAGCATCATTTGCAGGAAGCTCTCTAAGAAGGATAGGACTTTAAATAGGACAGGAGGTGGCTCAAGGGAAATGATGGGGGAGGACTGCCAACCCCCAACTTGAGCTGAGCTAATTGCAGTCTCTGGACAAATTTTTGGACAAACCTCGCAGGACTTTCTAGATGGGAAGAAATCCTCATGACTCACCAAATGAGAAATTGTCCTCCCAGTTGAATTGGAAATTTACACTGAAATGTAAGACTGTTTATTTAAGTTGAGCACTGAAAGCATCCTTCTCCTTCTCTGGTGTGCTCTCACTATGATATTTATGAGGATGCTTTGTGCCTTTCTAATTTTTCCTGTACTAGATGAGCAGAAGAAATTCATTTGGCTCCTCAGCATTCATTTATTCTTTTGCTAAACAGTTATCCCATAAATCTGAATTCTCATTAGATGATTGTCTTCATAGACTGCTTTTAATTAATAAAACCTATTTTACAGCTATTCAAAGAATTTCTTTTACATAGTATAGAAATAAAACAGATCAAAGAATTCCAAAGCAGCAAATTATTTTCAGATTGGAATAAGCTTAAAAGCAACAGATGATAGATAGATAGATAGATAGATAATGGATAGATAGATAGATAGATAGATAGATAGATAGATAGATGATGGATAGAGATAGATAGTAGATAGTAGATAGTTAGATAGTTAGATAGCTCATAGATAGATAGATAGATAGATAGATAGATAGATAGATAGATAGCTAGCTCATGGATAGATAGATAGATAGATATAGATAGATAGATGACAGATAGAAAGATATATAGATATAGATAGATAGATAGATAGATAGATAGATAGATAGATAGATAGGTGATAGATGATAGAGAGATAGATGATAGAGAGATAGATATGCTATCTATCATCTATCTATCTATCATCTATCTCTCTATCATCTCTCTATCATCTATGTATCTATCTATCTATCATCTATCTGTCTATCTATCATAGATAGATAAATGATATAGATAGATAGACAGATAGATAGATAGATCATAATGATAGATGATAGATAGATAGATGATAGATAGATAGATGATAGATAGATGATAGATAGATAGATAGATAGATAGATAGATAGATAGATATAAATAGATGATAGATAGATAGATATAGATAGATAGATGATAGAGAGATCATAGAGAGATAGATGATAGATAGATATGATCTATCTATCTATCATCTATCTATCTATCTATCATCTATCTATGATCTCTCTATCATCTATATATCTATCATCTATCATCTATCTATCATAGATAAATGATAAATAGATAGGTAGACAGATAGACAGTTAGATAGAGATAGATGATAGATAGATGATAGATAGATAGATAGATCATATAGCTAGCTAGCTGGATCATATAGATAGATAGAGGATAATTATTAGATAGATAGATGATAGATAGATAGATGATAAATAGATGGATAGATAGATAGATGGATAGATAGATAGATGATAGATATAGATCGTATAGATAGATCGTATAGATATATATAGATGATAGATAGATGATAGATAGATGATAGATAGATCATATAGATACATAGATAGATAGATGATAGATAGATGATAGAGATAGATAGATAGATAGATAGATAGATAGATAGATAGATGATAGATAGATAGATAGATAGATAGATAGATAGATAGATAGATAGATAGATACAGTGGTGGGATTCTAGGTGGTTCAGCCGAACTGTTTGTTAAATTGTTGGCTTGCCCCGTCCCCTGCTCCGCCCCTCCACACCACTATTTATTGGCCTTGGCCCTCGCAGCACTCAAACCATTTGTTAAATTGCTGGCTTGCTCGCCCCTCCCTACCACTATTTATTGCCAATAAATAGTGGTGGGCTGGGCGGGGCGAGGGGCGGGCGGGCGAGTCAACAATTTAACAAACTGTTCAGTGTTTTTTTTTGTAATTTATTGGTGTCGCAGCACACCGAACTGTTTGTTAAATTGCTGGCTCGCCTGCCCTTCACCCTACCCCACCCACCACTATTTATTGGCCTCGCTCGCAGTGTTGCACAGCTTGCCTGCAGTTATTCTTTGGCTCCTCGACCACATGGCCCAGCCTGCTTTCCTAACTTTGCCCGCGGTGGCCTCCCACTGTTCCTGAACGACCACCTCGGACTGCTCCCGACTGCTCCAGCAGCAGAACAGGCAAGTACAGCCGAGTGCTGCCCTCAGGGAAGCGGGGCTGGGAAAGGTGGTTGACCTGCACCAGCACTGTCTTGCGGCCGCCTCCCACCCATGTGGCACCAGCCTACCCTACCCCATCCAGTCGCTGGGGGAGATGTGCGATTTATCTCCACCCCAGAACACTGGCTGCCCAGGCTGCAGCTGATGCTCCACATTGTAATGGGCTCCAGGAGGAGGAGGGGTGCTGTCTGCCCCATTGCGAAGCTCAGTAAGAGCAACCAGAGCCAGCTGCAGGCGCAGCTGGGGGGGCGCATGCCCAGTGGTGCGCAGGCTTAAGGTGCCACCTCCAGGCCGAGGGGCGACCCGATGATGTGGT